CAACTGCACACACATGGACTCTCTGAGTAAATGCCACTTTTATGTGGCCTTTGATACACACTCACAAGGTTGCTCACGCAAATATCAATCCACAAGCTGTTAAATAATGTCTTTAATAGTGTGTAAAGATTTAGAAAATAACATCCTTATGTATTTTGAACCAAAAGTTCTAAAAACAGACACACTAAAAGATAAATACCATCCTGTCAGAACAGATTATATGAGAATATGAGAAAGATAACCTGTTCGATGGCCTCCTCAAGCGGTTCAGCTTCTGTCAAGGCCTCCTCGGTGAGTCCACTCACCTCCTGACACTCCTCAGAGAGCTCAATGTGATCCGGTTTGACTAGCAATTCATTTACCTGACCAGCCTAAATGTAGAAAGCAGAGGAATTCTCACTTCCAACATATACATTTACATAGGCAAATAAATAAAATGGATGGATGAATTGATAAATAGCAGGGGAAAAGTAGATGGATTTAGATTGATAGAGCCTTCGATTTGACTTTGACTAATTTTTGTTTAAATATCTGCCATATCTGCTCTCTCTCATCTCCAATAGATAGATAGATAGATAGATAGATAGATGAAATTGAATAAATAAATACATTTTAATATTTGACCTTAGACTTAGTAATTTTTTCTTAAAAAAAAAAATCTGACATAAATGTAAAACTCACTCTCCGTCTAACCTCCACCAGAATTACTACACACGCGCGCACGCACCATCATGGGGAAATATGAAATTACCTTTTTAGTCGCTAAATCCACAACTTGCCAAACCAACTGTACAATTTCCTTCTCATCTGATCCCAATTGGTCCCCACTTGCGCCAGATGTGGTGGTGAAAAAAAGCACCAGATAATCTGGATTAACCGTCATTTTTAAGAAGGAAAAAAAATCTATTGTCACACCACCCCGACAGCAAAAGCAAAACCCTAGAGATCAACTCCAGGTGACAGAAAAGCGAAGAGCCCAGTGACCCCACACCTACGGACAGATTAGTGCCGGGTTCGGACTCGCCTTGATGTGTCTCGTGGCCTTTTAATTGCGTGAGAATCGATGCATACAAGTCCGAAACCCTTGACTCTGCTCCGCAATGGCTGCTTGGATCGCGCTGGTTTTGTGTGCGCCCTACCTGGCCACCGCCCACGTGACACAGGTAATAGATACCTGCCCAAACGAAAGCCCTCCTACTGCTGCAGAGAAACAAGGACGTGGCATGGTATGCAGAAAACGCGCTGGTGCTACATGATGTGAGGGAATTCAGGGTCTGTTTATTACACGTTTACACAGTCTACTAATAAAATAACCCAGCGTTAACCCCTGCTCAACTGCCATCAAACGCGAACAGGACGTAAAATGACGCAAGGCCTTTCAGTGTAGTTTTAATATTGTAGCCTATGCAACTAAACTATTAGCTCGACTAAACAAATCGATAGACTTAAAATGTATCTGAACCATTATAGGCCTATAACAATTTTATATGTCAATGTATCGACAGTTACAAAGCACAGGTAAGCATAGGCATACACAGTGAGTGCACATCTGTTGTACCATATAGATAGATAGATAGATATAGATCTGTTTGTATGACCATAATTAACAAACCTCAGTGCTTTGTCTTAAAGGGGTCATATGATGTTGCTAAAACGAACATTATTTTGTGGTTTTATGTTTACGCGGCGCGATGCAACGCGTAAAAAGAAAGTAATCCGTAATTATGTCCCCACTGGATGCAACAAATGCCAAGTTTATAATGGGTTTTAAAGAGGTCATATGATTTTGCTATAAAGAACATTATTTTGTGTATTTGGTGTAATGAAATGTGTTTATGAGGTTTAA